TTGTGCAAGAGAGAAACAGAACCCCTCACTTTTAAAGAGCTGTTGTCTCAGCTCTTCCAATTAGTTTTAATCCAATAGTATGCTTTAAAAATGTTATCGATGTGGTCTTTCGTATGAAGTTGGTAAGCAGAAATCGGACACCCAAATACGAAGACTGGGTGGGGGTTGTCTAACTGGATCTCAATACTGTCCTTGACTAAGTTTGCTCACTGTGAGGATTGATGGAGCGAAACATTAACATTATCAGCATAGACTTACCTAAACACTACAATGTGGAAACAGGCCATTCGGCCCACCAGTCCCTGCTGATGTTAATCCTCCCCATGAGCTTCAACCCCCCCCCCCCCAAATCTCCTCTCCCATCTTCCTTTATTCCCTTCTCACTCATATTATGCATTATGGTTCCTCAAATACATTGATGATTTTTGCTTCAACCACATCTTCTGGCAATTCTTACCACCCTCTGTATAAAAACGTTATTTCTAAACAGCCTTTTAGATCTGCTACTGGCTATGTTATACCCCCCTTGTTTTGGACTCACTAACAAGTGGAAATGGCCTAATAATTCTGTAGGAATTCATTTACAATCTTAACAACAAAAAAAACTTGCATTTAAAAAGCACCCTTCACACGCTGTAGCATCTCAGAGCACTTAACAATGGTGGAGCTCAAACCTGAGCCAGTGAGAAAAGGAGATGACAACTGGCACAGCCAAAGGGGAAAATCTTCAGATGCCACCTGAATCTACCTCTTTAAACACCTCTATCAGATCCCCTCTGAATCGTCTCAACACCAGGTCTGTTGGGATAGTCTCAGCTAATCAGACTTATGTTCTATGCCAATGATATGGGCTCAAAATCTCACAAGGGATAGAAAAATGTATATATTCAGTGACCCAACACAAGTTCGGCCTTGCTCTTTCAAAAGCCATTTATCATTTTCCCAAAACAAACAGAAAAAGCAATTGAAGCTCAGAATAGATAATTTTGTAATGGAATTTAGAGTTTCCTTATGATAGAACTTGATGTTGTACAGTGTGGTCTATCACATGCTGATCACTAAAAATAACAATCCTGTATTGCTCCTTTTTAATGGTATTCTTAGCAATCCATAGGATTAGATCCCAGGATTTTAATATCCTGTGATTTGGGTTCAAATCCAGCCCATATCAATAGGATTAATCCTTCCTCTGCTTGGCTTTAAGACTCGGAAATTAACTGAGTTTGGAACGATCCAGTTCACAATAGTTTTATAGTTTTTACAGAACAAAACTTATTCTAATTCTGTGTAGTTTGACAGTATCACTTATACCCTAAATTTCAGTCAGAATGGCGGAAGAGTTACTAATAAAATTTTAAGATTTCAATAGCACATTTCTTTTTGAAGAATTTAAGAAATCCTGTCAGCCTTTTTGCATATAAAATACTTTTTTTTGCAACTTTTTCTCAGACCAGTGAAACCTATGATGGAGATCATAGCAGCCTCCGTACAAGAATAACAAAGTAATCAGCAAGCTTATCCTCAGTTATGATTTGAAAAGACTAGCATGTACGTGAAGATAAAAGTACCTGAAGTGACTCCCTGCTGAACTTTCTTTCGCACATGGACAAACAAGGACTGCAGAGAACACTTTCATGTTGCACTGCGCAGACTACATTGCAGGAAATGGACGAATGCCCTCTACCCTGCAGCTATGCCTTACCCCAGGCACCGGAGATTTACACCTATGAAATCTATCATATACTGGTAACAGGAGCACCAATCTTCCTCGAGTGTCATCTTTTTCTCTAGTCACATTTGCAGGTATGTTCTTAAATTGTGATGTCTTAAACTACTGCAGGCTTTACGGTTACTCCTGAAAAAGAAATATTAGCAAGACTTTTTTGCTGCCAGACAGAAAGTGCCTTTTCTTACTGTCTAGTCACCTATCTTTCATTATTTATTATATATGCCATATGCTCTACACCAACATTTAATATCCTTTTGACTAAGAAATGTGACATTTTATGATGTAGTTTTCTGTTGTCTTTTAAAAATGTTCTGGTGAAGAGCATTTACTACATCCTGTCTATGCAATGAAGCATCTAATCACTCTGTCAAAGGTTTTTTTAAATTGCCTTTTTTGAGCAACGATTGACATGGGAGGAGTTTGGTAATAATAGTATTCCTTGCATTTAATATAGTGACTTGTCACGTCTTCGAGACTTCTCAAAAGCACTTCACAAAATATACAGTAAAGTGAATTGACTGTATTGTGGGCAAAACTATCTAGCTAGACAGGATGTAGGTCCATAACCACAAAGTGCACGGTTGGGATATAGGAAGAGGAAACATACAACATAGCATAGTGATACTAGTAGGAATGCCTATACTTTTGTTTTTCTTTTTCTTAAAATATTTGAAAAAACATAATTATTTAGATTGATTTTTCTAAACATTTTAAAGTTAAAAGAATTGTATCGCAATACTATATACAAAAAAACTTAATATTTTCATTGTAAATAGTTACTTTACACAGGAATTATCCATTTATCTTGGGTCAACGAAAGCCAAAATCAGGTTAACGTGCACATAAAATATTGCACAATTTTTAACACCCCCCTTATTCCCCAAGCTTAGGAAATGAGAAGTGCTGCTGTGCTTGCACTCAATTGGCAAACACATTGTCGATAAGTTCCTGTTGGTCAACTGTGCCTTGTAGAGGAGCCTTCTTCCTCTATTTCAGGATGTGCGTTTTCTCCAATCTCATGTAAAGTGACAAGAATGTGACAATCCTGCTCCATTTCTGGGCAACAGAACATTTCTCTCCACTTAAAACGTTTCTCTTGGCTGGGGTCCATGAGTTTAATGTGGGATTAAGTGGCCATATATTGGGGCCATATTATTGAGGCCATAGCCCCTATCCCACAAACAGATCAGTATCTGTTTGTGGGATAGGGGCTATCAGTGAAAACTGTGAATTGCATGTGTACCTTGGGATTCAACTATCAGTATGCAAAATGTGCTATTTAACTCCCCCTACCACCTGAACATTCAGGCTGCAAAACACGTTCCTCTTCACGAATGTCAATGGACATGTGGATAGAGCCACGAACCTGCAACCTATTACCTCCTGAACTTTCAGGAAGCCAGTGGGAATCTTAAAAGTGAAGCCGATTGTTGATTTGTTATCTTCAACTTCTTCCAAATCTGATGGCACTGAACACCAGTTGCATTGAAGTACAACTGGTTCAAAGGGTTGGTGGATAGCAAATTCCAAGTCTCCCCCTGGATTTTGGAAGTGGGTTGTGTAGAAATTGAGAACGACTGCTACTTTCAAGGCCACATATAGCGCTGTCGTGGCTCAACATCTAGGCTGCAAGGCCGCGCTTATGACGACTACCATCTCCACCATGTTGTTTTTAGGCAGCTTGCATACACATTCCTCCTGTCATAAGAATCCTGCATTCAATATAGTCCCTTTCACGTCTGGAGGCATCTCAAAGTGCTTCATAGAATTTGCTATAAAGTCCTGGTACTGTATATTTTGTAGGCAAACACAGCAACCAATTTGCGCACCGACAAACAACTGAAATAAAATGAATGTCTAATTTTAGTTGGGAGATTGCTGGCCAGGGCACTGGCAGAAACACTCTTTTCAAATAGTGTCGCAGGATCTTTACCATTCACCTGAATAGGCAGACGGAACATCGGTTTAACATTTCATCCAATTTCTTTAGATAAACTGTTAAACTGACATGCTCCAACAATGCAGCACACCCCCAGAGCTACATTTGAGTGTCCTCCTAGACGGAGTTCAAAGTCCCGATTGAGGGCTTCTGATTCAGAAGCAAAGGTACTGCCGACTGAGCCAGCCAATATCTCCTTTGCCTTCTGAACCTATGAGGTCACTGGTACCTTCTTCCCTCGGGACCAAGTAGCTAATACATGTGGCGGTGTATCGCTGTGTGCCTCCTCTCTGCATCATCCTCTGTAGTTGCCTGTGCTAATCCATGTCTCGCTTCCATCTAGTGACACCTGAGATGCTGCCACTGTGTAACTATCACTGCTATAATTGCTGCAGAGGCAGAAAAAAATAATGCTTATGTCTTTGCAGTGAAGGCACATGTCCCCCTTAGAAAATCATAAACTCTGAAATTAGTCCCGGGTTAATTTGTGACTTTACTTACCGGATACAGCTTCCACCAGCACCATCTTAAATCTGTTCGGTAATGTTGGTCCTAACAACAGTGTTTATACGCTATTAGAATGGGTAGAGATAGCACAGGGAATGAAATTCCACATTCTTCAAGTCAAATCAAGGGGACAGACCACGACTTGATGGCATTAACTTGAAGGGGTTTTATGGTAAAAAATCTACGGTATGTGGTATGTATTTTAATGAAATAAGTAAATTTCCCCCAAATTCTGTAACTTCTGCAATATTTCCCTGATGGAATAATGCATTGTAATATAATAAGTTACCCTAATGTTGGGTAGAATAAAGGAAGCTTTATCCAGTTATGTAACTGGCCTTGGGAAATTCAAAAACACTGACACAGAGTTGGATAACAGGATTAAAAATTGGAATATTTGTAATAACCCCTCTCCTCCTCCCATATAAAGGCCAATTCTTGCAGTGTAGTGCTCTGAGAAGCTATCCCATGAGAAGGGTGTTATATAAATGCAAATTGTGGTTGCACAAATTGTTCATGTTCTGCAGCAGGCTTTCCAAAAAAGTGCAGTTCTTCCTGCTTCAAACCCGAATATTGTACAGTACAATCCTTACTCTTTGTTCCCTCTGCAGCCTCACTCCTGCATATTCCCTTTCACCCACTACGTAGTGTAAATTTCACAGACTTGTGTCTCCATGCAGATTAACACCTAACATCAACAGAATTTGAACATGCTTCCACTTGTGTCTCTGTAACTTCCAGCAAATTTATGAATGAGGCTTCTTGTGATGTGCTTTCAGCTGCTTTAGGCAGATCTTAGAAAATAGACAAGCAGTTAATCAAATACAACATGGAAAATTTAATCATTTCCTAGTTTATTACTTACAGGGGGAGGAAAAGAAAAAAAGCTTCCAGAATTTACAAACACCACATTGTCTAATCCAGGGCAGGTCTTGTCTGTATACAATGCCCATTTACATTATATACATAAAGGAAGACTGAATTTGATTTTTTTTAAACTATGGATTCAAGTTCCACTGATGTTCATTAAGTACCATGTACAGTAAAGTCATCATCTCCTGACTGTAATATATCATCTCACATAAAATACAAGAGTATAAAATTATTGTGGAAACAACTGAACAAACAGCAGGATTATGTTACAGGTACTGTAACGGTATCAGTGAATGGGACTGTACACCAAGGCCTAACTTCAAGATTATGCTATTTATAAACAACAGCTTGCATCCAAGAATAGGATCGTAATCTATTCTTATTGCGCATATTCACAAGTTTTAAGCAAAATTTGCCTGTTTAGAACAAAGCAGAAAGGTTACCTCCAGACACATCAATAATGGATGTGAGTTAAAAAAAATCAGTTCAAAAAACGTAACGATATAAAGGAACTGAAAATGTTAAATATTATTTTGTATTTTCCAAACATTAGCAACTTTTTAAAAATCAATTTCTATATTTAATAATTTACAGCGAAAATCCTTAATATTTTCAGCAGCAAGTGAAAGTCAAGATTAATGTAACATACTCATTGTATGTGTGTGTTACAGTCCAGGTTAGGTATCTCTGAGTTTGCATTGCTCACAGTGTTTTAATATCCGTTTACTGAGACAGTTGAAGTCTGAAGTAGAATGTGCTGATGAGGATTGCCAGGAAGGGGGAAGAAGCAGATTTTCTGCAGTGCATGTCACAAGTGCACGCTGTGTGCCCCACACACATCCACACATACACACACACACACACACACACTCACACAAGCGTGTGAACATGCAGTCCAGTCAAACAACTAAGTCCTGAGGTTTCTTACAGCAAACCGGAGTGATCTTGATGTGTCGTACCATCAGTTGCATGAAAGGGAGTGAGGTCCTGGTTGTAACTGTACAGAGGATTCAAAGCCTGGGTACTCATTAAGTCCATGCAAGGCTTGCCAAGGGATAGGGAGGGAGTCATCATTCTGAAACAGGAATGTAAAGAAAAAAAACAAATCAGGATTTTCTCAAAATGACAGAATAAACATACATTATAGTCATTTTATGCATATACAGATACACATTGGACTTGTCTGCTCTTCACAAGAGAAAACACATCATGAATAAGGTGGAAACACTTCTATCTTGCCTGTTGAACATTCCATACTTATTAACACAAGGACCTCACCAGGAAAAAATGCTGTTCTAATAGCAAAGTCATTTTTAAAAATAGTTACAAGGCCTTGTGAGCTCACACACAACCCAGTGCACATCTGTTTTCCCAAAATAGACACAAACGTCTCAAGCAGGAGGTAAGTGTGAAGCATGTCACCTCATAAAACCAACTTTGTTTTGAAAAAACTTGATTCTAGGACATTTTGAGGGGACTAAAAGGGATATAATCCAAACCACACTCTACTACAGCAAATATGGAGGAAATTCCCTATCAAGGGCTTATTTTGCCTCCATCAGTGATTTTGGTCAAAAATCTGTTTCAAATAAAAATAAGAAACAGACTGAAAAGCAGTTTCGACAGTGAGTTGTCATATTCCTGAGATATAAACTAACATTCCACTGTACTTAAATCACACACATGAACTGTTCATTTGAGTTTGTTTGATAAATGAATACTCAGAAAGATGAAAAAAGGTAGCTAAGTTGGAACGCAATTCATCAAAACAATTGATTACGACTCAGAATGTTAAACAGTGCCTTGTACATAGTGCACAGCAAATGCACAATCATTTCTTACACTAATCGCATACACACCCTAACACAACCCAATCACACACAGACGCCATAAACAAACACATACACAAATACATACAAATAAAAACAAACATACACAAACAAACAAATAAACACATACAAATAAAAACAACACAAACACCACACCTGTTTGGTTCATACACCATCTATGTACCACAACTGCCACTCCAATATCTCTCAAGTATTTCTCACAGAATGCATTTGAATAGAAAGCCAATTTGCTCGGCTGTACAAAATCCTCAATCATTACACTGAACAGAAAAAGATGCCACAAAAATGCAGAAGGGTTGAATTAAAAAGCTATATACTGAGTACAGTCCACCCAAAAATCAGCAGGTGCTGTACATGGACTTAACCCATTATGTTTGCTTTTTATTACTTATTCAGCCTGCTGCAACTGTGAATACTGCATTAACAAATAATGAATGTTCTGTTCATCTGGCAACTTGCTGGGATCAATGATATAATGGGGTTGACATTAAATTGCAAGCATTTGAAAAGATATTTGAAGAATGACTCCTTATTTTAAGAAAGAAGCAAACCAAAAGGTCCTCTCAAAGTGGAGTTATTTTACATGAAACCATTATGTAGCTCCCAATTGGTTGTTAGATTCATTTGTCAACTTTATCAAGAAAACACTTGTACTCATCAAGGTCAATTTTGGGAAATGCGACACTTTTGTAATTTTGGCATTCAGCCTTGTGAAGGACACCCAAGTCAAGGGCCAGTTCTCCATGTGTTGACAATGGGGTCAACCATGCACTGATTGCTAAAAAGAGTGATCTTTTCATTACTTTTTTTAGTTCAAAATCCCATTATGAAACAAAGCAAGAAAGATTGCTATTTTGCGCAATCAACAGAAGACAAATCTCACTTTCCTTTAACCCCAATTTCAGAAAATTATCCTTGTCTAAACCAAATTGTGCACTCCTGTACCAGTCACCATCCTGAGCAAGTTGCCAAATTACTACCAAACTGTACACTGTTCTGTTTTGTGGGGCTCATGCTCACTACAAACATGTTGAAATTGCACTGCTTAATTTTACGCTGAAAGGGACCAAGGCCATTCATTCCATTGTTGCACTTCAGCTTGGTTTTGTTGGTAGCACTCTATTGCCTAAGGCAGAAGGTTGCAGATCCAAGTTTCATGGTTGCACCTCAAGCTCATTAACTAGACTGATACTTCAATACAAGGCTGAGGTTTCATGCTTCGGATGTATTTTAACTGAGGTTCCACCTGCTCATTGAGGTGAAAAATAACAGTAATCGAAAAGAGAAGAGAGATTCTTCCTGTGTACAGGAAACAATCACCCCAGTAACAAACTGGCTGTTTGTGGAACATTGGTCTGCACAAATTAACTGCAGCATTCATGTAGAAATAGTCACTACATTTTAAAGAATACTTTGTAAAGCACATTGTTGTAATTATTCACTATATCAAAATTCAAGGATTATTTATCCTGTGTTGCCTTTGCATCCACTTCGGAGAGCATAAGAGAAATTATTTTGATGGATTTCTTGAATTTGCTCTAGGTTAGATTTGATTTTGCTTGGTATAAGAATTCACAGCATTATCAAGTGTTTCTAAAACGGCTTCACATGCAAGAAGCTCTGAAAGGGCAGAAAGCAGCTGGGCTGGTGGCAGTTACCAGCCTCCAATTTCTCTCCTCCACTATAAATGGGCCAGGTTTATCAGCAGGGGGAGTGGGGCGGGGGGGATTCAAAATGTGCAGAGCTGTTTTCGAAAGTGTCTCTACACTATAAATGACAGTAGGATGACGGAGTTTAACCGGGATTAATAGCTATTCAGCAGCCAATTTGCTTGTGTCATTTCAATGATCTACCTAATTACACATAATTATAGCACTCAGGAAGGAAAGAGAATTAAGTGACGATCAGATGCGATTTCTGAGTACTGGCCAAATCAGTGTATTTACCATCTCCATGGGTAACTGATAACTTTATACTTAACTGCAGCAACTATTTTTGCAATGCATGACATAAAACTTAAAAAAATGAATACATGGAGGCAGAACAAAACTCCCATGCCCCCCCAAGCAGTTTTGATTAAGGTTTTCCTTTAAATTATTTTGAAAATGATGGTTGAGGAAAAGGATGCTTGAACAGATGGCATTAAATACAAATTCAGGAGGAACAGGAGCAGAGCAGTATCCATTGAGTCACCACTGTACAATACTGCAGTATTATTTTGGTATCAGGGCCAAATTATTAGCAGGCACACATTTTCTTTAAAGAAAACATTAATAATACCTTATGTTTAATGACAATCTTATGACTCCACTCATTAGATAAGTTCCACTACTTCAGAACGTAAAAGTTAAACATTTACAAGAACGTTTTTAGTGAAAACGCAGGAATAGTAAAGTGCCCTATTAACTAGATTGAGAAGCACAAATAGAGTTAAGAAAAAGTAACACAGTTAGGAGATTACAGCCTACTCCTGACGGTCACAAAGAAGCATCAGTTTTTTCCACAGAGATGAAACTTGACAACTGGGGTTAAACTCTATTCATCCACACAACTATAGATTCGGAGACCCTTTGTGCAAGTCAAAGAGATGAAAGCAAACCCCCCAGTAGCTGTCAGCACTTTACTGCATGTTAACCACCACAGTTTTGGTCATTGGAAGTGAGAAACTGTGAGGTTGGGCACTAGATTTTTGGAAAGATCCTGTACTCCTTCATGACTCATTAGCATTGAATGCTCCACGATGTGTAGTTCCCAGTCACCATGGACCCCGATAAAACAATAATTCTCACACTATGCTGGCTGCTGTCATCTAGTCAGTTACATCTGTTCAGAGTTAAGGTAGCCTAGTGATTACTGTGTCACAGGCCAAAGCAAGGGAATGCAATCAACCAAAACACAACTCAATCTACCTTACATCTTTGGAACAAGTCATTGCATTCCTTTCAGAAGTCGATATTCAAAATTTTACATTTTAAGGGTCAAGTCATCCTAATAATACAGTAGTTACTTCAACTGTACCACGTGCATAACCAGTATGAAAATGTTTGTTTTCATTCTGGACTTCTACATATTGTTGGGACGCAAACCCTCAACATTTTTGACTTGTGGAATAGAAATTTTATGATTCAAAAAAATTGTTTTAAGAAAAATATAAGCTACTGTGACCTAGACTAATCATCCCAGCTTTTGAAAACGTTATTCCGAAGCAGCAGTTCTACAAAATATTACTGGAAAAAAAACATGTTATTCACAAAGAGTCGTCAGAACTATTGGTATAACTGACTTGCTCATAATTTTGAAAAGGAAGGCTAGTCTGGGGAGAATACAGTACTTACGCTTCAAAAGGCACACTCTTTAACTCTACTCTTGAAATACTTTCATTCATTTTTTATCATCTTAGACATCTCCAAAGCATTTGGCAGAGTCTGGCACTGTGCCCTTCCTAACAAGATATCTTCTTGTGCCCTTCTGCCCAAGTTTGTTCACAGCTTTGTATATTCCTTAAATTGCTCTGTGCTGTAGTTGATTCATTCTCTAACTCAGGTGTTTCCCAGTGTTCTGTTCCCTCTCCAACTCTCCATGTTACTGACCCTTCTATGCTCTTCAACCCTACCAACTACGTTAACAATGACCCCCCTCTACATTTATAAACTTGTGAACTCCACCAGTGCACGGACTTCCATTCCTCTTGCAGTGCAATGACTTACTCATTAAACCTTGCTTTCACATTTTATCTCAGCCTAGACAGCAGTTAGGGCATGACAATTGGTTTCTGTGTCTTTGGGCTAAACGAGAGAAAAAAATATCCATCATCAACTTCTGATCACTGCAATTGCTGATCACCCTCCTGGAGAGTGCACAAATGATCAATGGATGACAACATCTTGGCTCTGATTTTCTCCAGAGTTCAATTGCCTTCTGACACTAAATTCACAGATCAAGAAAGGTGGGTACAATTTGTTGTGGAACATAACCCAGCAGAGTCATTGTCTTCAGGAGGGGAGGAACAAATTGACCTCCCAAAACCCTCCAGCAAAGTTGCGATTATTGATCCTTTTCTCTCTGTTGCAATCTTTAGCACTAAATTCTCGACAAAGGCAATTACAATAATGACTGGAAGAACTTGTGTGCATCCTGGAGCATCACCATTTATGAGGGTACACAGTTTAGACATGTTTGGGAACTAATCTGTAACCACCAACTCTGGGAAAGCATAGTATTGCTG